GAGAGAGAGAGAAAGAAAGAAAGAAAGAAAGAAAGAAAGAAAGAAAGAAAGAAAGAAAGAAAGAAAGAAAGAAAGAAAGAAAGAAAGAAAGAAAGAGCGAACATGAAGTTGGGTAGGTAGGGAAATGGGGAGTAATTGGGCAAGGGGAATAAATACGATCAAAATATTTTTGAAATTGTCTTTTAATTACATTTCTCCCTTCCCTTTCCCCCCTCCAAACCCTCCCATCTACCCCTCCCTGCTGTGCTTCAAATTCATGACCTAATTTTTAGCAACTGTTATTGCCTACATATATCAAAATATCTTTTATGAAAAAAATTAATAATAATAAACTTTTAAAAATAATGCCAGTAATATATCATTGTTGATGATTCAATTAGTACAAAGCATCACGAATAGGTGTTAAATTATGTTACATATGTCTATTTAAATTGTCCCTTTTTTTTCTATATGGCTAATCTAGTATAATCACACAACATTTTTCTCTTCCTGGACAAATTCAGTGTTATCGTGCCTCTTTTTGTCACTAGGGCTGCTGTTCCTGGCACCCCTATTACTGCTGCATCTTCCAGGGGACGTCTGTGTTTCTGATTTTAACCTGGTGCCCAACACTTTGCACAGTGATGCCTCTGAAGATAGAAAACGTGAGTCCCTGCGTGACTGAGTTTGGCAGTCTTCTCTCTCAAACACTGTTATGAGCTCCACTGACTCATCCGTAAGTGAGGCTTTGGGAGCCCCTCCTTCCTCTTTGATTGCTTCTTGGCATCTGAAGGCCAGGTGGAACATCCACTGAAGTAGCAGCTGCCAGAGAATGCAGACGGTAAGTCAGAACACAGCACAAAGTTCAGAAAGGAAGGGTGATAAATATAAATTTAAAAAATGTACTCAGGTGTCCTGATACTTTTCGTGACTGATTTGAGCACTGTGGGCAGGGATGCTCTCAAGCTGGTTTCTCTGTGCGCCCCTGCATTTTTGTGCTGCTGTTGCTCCCAGAAATGTCCACATTTGCAAGATGCACCAGCCACCCTCAGATCTAATCCTCTGCCTCCACAGGACCCAAGGGTACTCTTCTTTTTCATCTTTTATTTCCATTGGGTTATTTCCATCATTTCTCCCATAGTAGACTGCATTTCAATTCTCTGAATCAGAGCGATGTTTTAACATGCACCCTGACACCAAGGCATTATTCCTGGTCTTGCCTGAAGTTTGGATATTTTTAGAGATTAGCATAAAACATCTCAAAATCGTGCAGCAATGGAGTAATGAGGACAGGTGATGACTGATAAATGGTTTCTGAGCGCCCTGAATAATCAAGAATAATTCTTGCCCAAGAAATGAGCACTTCTCACAGCTTTCACATCACAAGATTGGAAACAGTCTCGACTGAAAATAATTTAAATGCAAAAGAAAACCACCCCAACAGCGAATACTGATGCTTGTTATATGGTGGATAAGATTCCAAACACTGAGTACTTCTTTTTCTAGGAGGAAGTTAGAAGTGAATAAACTGTGACCGTCCAGGATAAAGGGCTTCCATGGCCTGCCTCAAATATGCACATGACAGTAATTTCATACGACTTCAAGCTCTCCATCATCAGCTCTCCAAAATAATTCAAAGTAAAACATTGTAGCCGAATAGACATTGCTCTTGTGTGGTACTCGGTGGCATGATTCTTTTAAGTGATACTCTAAAATAAATGGAAGTAATTCTGTATTTTACAAAAGCTACAGTTGAAAAAAACTGGGAAAGATTATGTATGATCCATACAGAAGCTTATTTCTGATTATTTCTATAAAAGGCACGGGATACTGTCACTTCAGTTCTAGAACGTATCTAGAAGGAACACTGTTTTCACATTCAGAAAACAGGTATTGAGCCTGTAATTCTGGACTCTGCTACGCAGCAGATATACCATGAATGAAGCAGACAAGCTGCCCTCACAAAATTTACAATCTTCTATAAACAGTCATTAAACAAGAAAAAAGCACATAAACTATAAATCTCAGCATACTAGCAAGACAATAAAGAAAATAGCATAGAGAACAATAACAGGAAAGACTGCACAATCAGAAACCAGTCAGGACACTGACGTTTGTAGGGCCATTATTCTGCCTACCACAGAAGGCTCCCTAAAACGTTGCCTGTTAAGGTGAACTGAAACCAAGGGTGTGTGTATTTGCCAGATCTCAACTATATTTTGATACCTCTCAGGCTAAAATTAGTACACACCTTCTAAGATTTAAAATAACACTTGCTATTCAATGACTTTTTAAATAATTAAGGACATGAGTATCGAACATCACACAAGAATAAGATTATTTAGATGTGATTGGACATGTTCACGGTGGTATGGTCATGGCACATTAGACCTGCATAAATTCCAGCCAAATGGGGACCTAACACTGAGATGGGGGATTATTGGCCATCAGGTCCCATCCTTAACTTTCAAAAGATATTTGCAATTAATAACTACTGGCAAAGGAGGAATTCAGTTTTACCCAATAGAGGTCACTGGGTATATCAACTACACTCTAGGGAATGTACCCATGGAGTACATTTTGTGTTGACCATACCTGGGGGTAACTGGTCAACACAAAATGTACTCCATGGGTTCGGTATTTTTGTTTGTTTGTTTGTTGCTGTTTTGTGGACTTTTTGCTTCATTCTATCCTCACCACTTTGTCTTATTGACTTTTTGTTTGTTTTGATTTTCATTTGTGTGGGGTTTTCTTTTAGAGAGAGAGAGAGAGAACACAAAGTTGGGTGGAAAGGAGGTAGGAAGAACCTGGGAGGAGTTTCAGGAAGGAAAGAGCACCATCAAAATATATTGTATGAAAACTATTTTACATTAAAAATAAAAATAACCACTATTCGGGGGATCCACCTTTGCATTCTTTCAGACCACACAATCAAAATGAACATCCAGCGTATGTGCGTACACATGCATTTCACAGTAGAAGTGACCCTCCTCCCAAAGAAAACAGAAGCTGAGAAAGAAAAAAGAAGAGACTGGAGCCGAGGTTATAATGAGAAAAGACAGTGCAAAAATAACATTGTGGCTTCTGTGGGATCCCAGATTTATCCTCTCAGATGCTTCCAGAGCAAACACAGTCCATTTATAAATGAAAGGAGGACTTTGCTGTCAACCTGGAAGCTCCACCTGAGATCCCGGGAGGAAAAGCCCCACCTTGGAACTTTTAGTGCCTTACCTCATTGCCTGGAGCAAACACCTCCACCCCTGAAAATGGGTCTTAGCGTCTAGAAATGTAGTGATAGGCATCTGCGTTCATCTTCGCAGTACAGAGGGGAAGTGTGAGTGTGAGCACCTACTCAAGAGAGATGCTTCACATCACTGGTTTTCTAACTCCAACAATTCCATCTGACACGAGATTAGGCTGGAATCAAAAAGATTGCGTTTTCACGTACTCGAGGCTTGTGATGGAGAACAAAGACTCGACTTGCGTTATGAACTCATTACCTGGGGACCGCGAAGGTGAAAAGGAGAAGTCAGTAGTTAGGGAGGAGATAGGCCCTGACCCTAACCTCCCGAGGTGCCCAGAATGCAGTAAAAAGAGAATAGCGTCCTGTCTTTGCAGGAGAATCTTATAAACACATTCCAAAAGCCTTCTGATGCCGAGGCTTTCCTCTTTAAAACGTTGATACTTGTTCCTCCCTTCAGAGAAAGATACTTATGACAAAATGAGAACAATTGTATGAGACGACCTAACACACGACCAGGCTTGTGGTGCATAGTTAAGAATATTTAAAGGCCGTTTTCAGTCCCTCCAATCGCTCTGAACATCGCTGCCCTCCGATCCGTCCCTTGCCCTCCCTCTGCATTGCAGAAAACAGAACCCTGCAGGCAGTCTTCCCCAGGCTCGGGTCCCCAAGGTTCTACCTGGTTTTCACTCTCTTGGGAAGCGCTGTGTTAGCTGGGAAGCAGGGGGCTCAGGGGGAATTCAATTATGTTGCTTACCCCTCCACCTTAGGTGGTCACTCAGGCAGTGGCTGAAGATTGCACAGCCTAGCAGACATGCTGCCATGACCCCAGCTTTGGTCAGGTGATCTTGGCCCTCTAGGCATAGCTAATTATTGGTAGCTCCTTCCAGGTGAGCTCTGTGAATGGTTCCCCTTTGGGCTAGCTCACTGGTACCCGTGTCATTCCGTTCCACTCTCTGCTTCACCATAACTGTGCGGCTAGTTCCCTACATTGAAGTCCTTGCTGTAAATATCCAAGATGGTTTCTGTTCTTCCTGTTTGGACCCTGACAATCCAGTTCTCTTCTTCTTCTTCTTTTTTTTTTTTTTTTTTTTAACAAGAACAGTTGAGGAACCAAAGTCGGAGAAAGAGCTTGCTTTAGAGCAGTGGTTTTCAACCTTCCTAACGCTGCGACCCTTTAATACAGTTCTTTGTGTTATGGTGACCCTCCAAGCATAAAATTATTTTTGTTGCTACTTCATAACTGTAATTTTGATACTGTTATGAATCATAATGTAAATATCTGTGTTTTCTGGTGGTCTTAGACTAACCCTGTGAAAAGGTCGTTCAATCCCCCAAGGGGTTGTGACCCACAGGTTGAGAACTGCTGCTTAGGTTATTTACTCCCAGGAAGATTTGCAATCTAATCTTTAGCTCTTACTGCAGTTGGCCCTGGTTTGGACAAACCCATTACACCCTCCCTCTAAGTGATAATTATGACCTATGGGCTACCACTGTCCAAGTTGGTGGCTTGAAAGGTTGACAGAGAGAGACTTCCCACAGGGCAAAGTACCTGATAAACAACAGGCTAGAAGTGTTCTGATGTCCGGAGGAGGTGGACAGTTATCGGTATGAAGTTGCCAGCGAGAAAGCACTTGAATGGCCTTCATGCCCTTCACTAGGTTATCTTCACAGTGACACCTCCAGGGAGCTGCCCCTAATCACCCAGTCCAGAAAAGTGCCATCGCCACCATTGCTGCTTTCTTTTGTGGCACTCTGACGCACATATTGAATGCTGATTTCATGTCATACGTTTTTCCTTTAGTCATCTGTCACTGGCTTGTATACAAGAGTCAGGAGGTCAAGGGCTCTGTGTCATCCATCACAGACAGTCAATAACCCAGTCCTGTACCTAACATGTAGCAGGCACTCAGAGATCTGGACTCCTTGAATGGGTGACTCTGAGTGCATGGACACGTCTTTCAACTACATATTTCCCACCTTGGTCAAGCTTGTCTGTTACTGACTTCTTATAAATCCCAAGTTAGCCACCAAGAAGCCTTTCCCACACTCCAACAGAAAATATGTAATCAGGTTTTTTTTTTTTTCAAACAATGGATGTTGCCATTTTTAAGAAACGCTTTCCTTCATCTTTTCGTTCACCTTTAGCTAACTTTATTTAGAGATGATTCACATGCCAGAACAGCCACTCTTTTGCACAGACCAGTGGGTTCTTAGTATGCTCATGAATTGTGCAGCCTTCACCATTACCCCCTTCCATCCTCCAGAATGCAACTCCACGGTGACCCGCAGCCCCTCCTTCCCAGGCCTCACAGCATTGGGTACCCACTCATTCTCTTCCTGTGCCCAGGGGTTAACTACTCTGCACATTTTCTAGAGGTGGGATCATTATGCAGCCTTTTCTAGCTGCCTCCTTAAGGTTCTTAAGGTTAATCCCTGTTCTTAAGGTTAATCCCTGTTACAGCATGTGTCAGCATTTCTTTTTATTGCCAAATAACATTTCATTGTATACATATAAATTATTTCATCAGTTGCTAGACAATCGGGCTGTTTGAATCTGCCAGCTACCATGAATAATGCTACCATGAACATCTGTGTACAAAGTCCTGTGTAGGCATCTAGACTCCTGCTGGCCCTGGCTCCAGTAAAGTATAATAGGCCAGAGGGAAAACGTATACATTGCATGGAGAACGTGACGTTCTGCTGTTGGCTTACTGGACTTCATCGTGGTGTGCTGCCTAAGCTCTTCCTGGCTTCTGTGTTTTGTTCATTTTCATTTTGTTTGTGTTTGCGTTTGTTGGTGGTCCCTGAATATCTTCCTGGAGCTTGTCACTGGCCTTGCTCGCCCTTTCGCCTGATACCCTACTGGCCTCTAACTTCAAGTGGTAAGTTAGCCACGAAGCCCAGAACTTAGTTTGACTTCTCACGGTTGATCAGACTCTTGCCAACATGTCTCTGAGGCCCTGGCTCCTGATTTTCCTTTCTTGCATATGCACATGCTCTATGTTAAGTGAAAGAAAAGGAAGGGAGGGAAGACCAAATTAAAAATAGGAGATAATGGCTCGGCAGGTGGAAACACTTGCCACCAAGTTTGACAGCCTGACAGGGTAGAGAAAGGAGAGAACTGACTCCCACAAGTTGTCCTCTGATCTCCCCACACACACCACGGTGCATGTGTGCACACACAGACACACACAAGTAAATGTTTAATTTTTTTTTTAATTCTTAAGAAAACATTCATTATTTAGTTATGGGTTAAATTTTACCCAAAGCACCTCTAGGTCTAGATTTGCTGGCGCTGATGACATCGGGTATCACCCTGAAGGGAAGTTATTTGACCCTGTGGTCTAGCTCACCCCAATGTGACTGCGCTAATGCTGAATTGCACATTCCAGGAGGAGCCTTTAATCCTGGACTGATAAATAATAAGTAAAATTAGCCCTGCTAATCCCTGCTTGCTACAGGCTTAGGTGAAGCATTCATGTTACTCAAGCCATGCCCTTTTCAATCCTATTACACAGGATTTTATGCTGGGGAGCAACTTCAGGGGGTTCCCTCCCTCAGTGGGCTAACGGACCCCCTTGGTAGACTGGAAAAGATTGAGTTCAGAGGGCAGGGTTTCAGTTCCAACTCTGACACTCATGGGTAGCTGTGTGACTCGACCGTTTCTCCTCTCGTTTCCTGCCGCCTTTGTTTCTAAATGAGGTCTGGAGCTTTTGATTCCATCTGAAACTATCTCAAGCTTTGCCATCATCATCCACAACCCAGAAAAGAAACAGCAGTGTTTGTGCATTGCGGGAGGTGTTGGTGTGGGGAGAGGGGAGGCCTTGCCACAGTCACGGTGAATGCGTTTTGTACTAAGACCTGGGACGAACTGGAATCCTGGAGCTGTTATTCTCAATGAGCCTCCACATTTGTAGTTTCATTTCCTTACCTATAAATTTGAGAGTTTGAACAAGATTGTCTCCGACCTTCCTACTCTTTGGGGTTTTCCCATTCATGTTTCTGTAACTCTAGGAGCTCTGTATGCCTGGAGTACACTTTGGACAAATTTCCACATTTTGAAACTAGACACCTACATGGTGGTACATGGAATTTTAGCAATCAAAGTATGAGATCTCTTATCCATTGGTAAGAGTTTTTCTACCTAGCAGAGTCAAGGAAAAGAAAGCTAGTTGCTTTGCTTCTTGTGATGTTATAGATAATTTCCAATAAAGGAGATTAGCCAATACACACATGTCAGTTTCTGTGACTGCTGGGTCAGGCATCCCATTTCATCTCTAATGGGAAGTTACCCTGATGGACTCCCCCTTTGTTTAATTTTTTTACATTCTCAAATTGCCCCTAACCCCCAGAACTTGATCCACTAGAGCCAATATCTCTAAAATTGATTAAAGAGATTTTTAATGGAACTTTATTGAAAATATTAATCAAAATGAGATTAAGGATAAAAAGTGCTTAGCATCTATGACTCAAGTTGCTTCTGTTTTCCAAAAGGGTAAACGGTACAGGGAAGGAGGGAGGAAAGAAAGGTGTTGGGTGGGTTTACTGTTTTTAAAAGATAAGTGAGTGGATACCATTGCTTACCTTAAAGGCTGCCATGATGGGAAATATACAGAAAAGCATAAATGCCTGGGGCATGATGGACATCTGGAGGGTGTGGACCCTTCTCCCTTCCATTCTCCATTCCACAGATGTATCCCTAGACAGCCCTCAAGGTCATCCTGAATCCTGAAACTTCAAAATCCTCTCCATCCTATGTGATTCTTCATTTAATTCCAATTACTATTTTAGAATAAAGGGAGTCATCTGGATGTTAATTGAAGGGGAATTTCCTTATAGGGCAATGCTGAATTTTGTTTAAAAAAAAAAAAAAAAGAACTTTTCTGTCTATAATTCACTATGTCTCTCTTGCTTTGCCAGATAGCGCCTGATCTCTCTGTGTGTCACGGTCCCTGAGGCTGTTCTCTCTACTTCTGCTAGTGTCTAAACAGATGGACGCATAACCATGCAGAATAGAGAGGCAGCATGCCTTAACCATTCTGCCCTACAGGGGTCTATTTTTAAGCTTTGAGCTCTGGGGATACATTGTACATGGAAGTGGAGCTTGTTTGCTTTTCCAGGCTCTGGACATTTCCCCTCTCCTTCTAGGACAATGAATGGAGTTCCAAAACCACAGATGGAAGTCAGCATTCTGTGTGTGGCATACTACGCCTACAAAATCTGCTGCCATGCTCCTGAGTTTTAGCAGCAATTTGGCAGGTTTATCATGTTTCCAGCCTCCTCCTACACACTAGCCATAACTCAGATTATTGACATTATCTCCATTATCTCCATAGAGATTATCTTCAGCACAGATAAATGTTTTACTAGTTGTTTTTTAATAGTAACTAAAACTGCCCAAGAATGTTCTTAATATACACATAGATAGATAGATCTTGATTTATGATGATGACATGATATATTTAGTTTGCTTGTTTATAACTTCCCTTTGATCATAAAAGACTAGGATAGCTTCTATCAAAGTACATGATAAATTTAAAAGACAGAAACCAGAGTCAAGGAAAGCGATGCTTGCCACCAGGGTCCATGTGTTTGTGGTAACCAATCCTCTTGTTGCATTTGTGAACCCTCTGGCAGCTAGCCCCATAATTCTCATCAAAAGAAGATATATACCAGAAGTATTCTAGAACTATCTCTGGAAAACAAATAAAGCTATATTTAGCACCAAATTCTAAACCAGCTACACAATGATTTACGCAGAACATCTTCAATAAGTTTACAGTGGGCTTCAGATTTGAGGTTTCATGGCAGCTCACAGTCAAATGCTCGGGACATAAGATCAAAGAACAACTTTGAATCCAGGAGATATTTAAAATATTGGGGCCAATTCTGGAATGCAACTGATTCACAGGAAACATGTAGGGTGCTTGGAGCAGGGAGCATCACTTCTCATTGCTCACAGCTTGACTGCTGGAAGATCACATGTAGGATTATACTTTCAGAGGCTGGGATACAGCTCAGTGGTGGAGAACTTGACCCTTGACCAGCAAGCACTGGTCTCTGGGTTCATTACTTACTACAGCCCAAACCAATCATACTTTTAGACAAAGGCCTAGCAGGCTGGACTTCTACCCTATGAATTGTAGATGGGCTTTTCTTTCCCACCTGCCAGTTCCCAAGTAACTGACAAAGAGACTCAACATTAACTATAAATGTTCAGCCAATAGCTCAGACTTATTGCTAGCTAACTTTTACAACTTCAGTTAACCCATTTATATTCATCTACATCCTGCCACATGGCTTACCTCTCTTTCATCTTGTACCTCCTGTTTCTTCTTCGTGTCTCTCTAGTGACTCCTCTGACTCCACCCTTCTTCTTCCCAGTGCCCTTAGTCTGGTTTGGAAGGTTGAGAACCTACCCTCATCCTGTCCAACTATTGGCCAATCAGCTTCTTTATCAAGCCAGTCACAGCGTAATTTGTACAGTGTACAGAAGGATCATTCCACAGCAATGAATGAGCATGAAGCTTTGGAAATCAGACAACCAAGCATCAATGCATTAGGAATCCCTCTCTTACTCCATCCTGCTTTGATACCATACCATCTCCACAGGGAATCTGACTACACATATGAGAGCATTGTATTAAGAATGATCACATTAACCTGATTTTGTTTGACAAAACTAGACACACTAAAGCATCAGAGACAATTTTGCTTCACTTTGTTTTTACCTAGGCTTTCTACACACCTTCCCATCCAAGACCCACGTGCTACTTGAGCTGCATTTTCCAGACCTTCTATATCAGTGGTTCTCAAACCTTCCAAATGCTGTGACCCTTTAATACAGTTCCTCATGCTGTGGTGACACCACAACTCATAAAATTATAGTTGTTGCTACTTCATAACTGTAATTTTGCTACTGTTATGAATCATAATGTAAGTATCTGTGCTTTCCAATGGTCCTTTTCTTGTTTTGTTTTGTTTTGTTTTGTTTTGTTTTTCTAGACAGGGTCTCTCTGGGAAGCTTTAGAGTCTGTCCTGGAATTCACTCTGTAGACCAGACTAGCCTCGAACTCACAGAGACCTGCTTGCCTCTGCCTCCTGAGTGCTGGGATTAGAGCATGCACTGCCACCAGCCAGCACTTTCTAATGGTCGTAGGCAACTCCTGTGAAAGGGTCATTCAAAGCCCCCCCTCCCGGGGTCATAACCCACAGGTTGAGAAACACTGCTTAGTACAGGTCCTTACTGCTCAGTATCCTTCCATTGCAACCAGGTAGTTAATATTTTTCCTTCCCTCCAGACAAGAGTGTAAGAAATACATCTTTTTCATCCCTTCTGTCTAGAATAGCACCTGATTTAAAAGCCCATCCACAAGCCTACTTGACAATAATTATTATATATAGATGTAATACTATTTTTCAATGTTTCTTTGTAACTATTTCATAAATGGCCATTTTGTTGATCAGAAGTAAGTATATGCAGTATGTGTTCTAGGTATAATAGATATGACACCATTTAATCTATAAAACCACCCTAGGACAAATAGGAGCAAAACATAAATATACACATATATTTAAACATTATAGAGAAGTTTATTATTTTGTATGCTTACTAAAACTTTAATTTGAAAAGCCTGTGAAAACAGGATTATTAACTGCATTTGGCTCATAGGAAGACTGAGGCATTGTGGTAATAGGTAAATTCCCAAGGTCAGCGGTTGATAAGTAATAAATCTTAGAAAGCCTGGTTATTCCAAATTATGTAGATCCTATAATCACACTGCCTTGGGGGTCTTAATAATTTCACCCCCTTGACCAAGCATGGTGGCACATGCCTTTAGTCCCAGCACTAGAGCAGCAGAAGTAGGTAGATCTTTGAGTTCAAGGCCAATATGGTCTAAAAAGCAAGTTCCAGGCCATCCAGGGCTACGTAGAAAAGCCCTGTCTCAAAAAAACAAAACAAAACAAAGTAAAATAATAATAATAATTTCACCCTCTCACAGAATGATATTCATTTTAATCTGCCTCTCTCTCTCTCTCTCTCTCTCTCTCTCTCTCTCTCTCTCTCTCTCTCTCTCTGTGTGTGTGTGTGTGTGTGTGT